AAAAGTTTCTGGGAATGCGTCCCCCACCCCACCTTCTCCCCTCTCCTTTCCATTTCTAGTGAGTTGAGAAAGGAGGAAGTTGAGAGCCTTTGAGGTGCTCTAGACATGCACGGGAGGAATGCTACCAATTGCATATTGCATTGGGATCATGGAGATGTTTCTGTGAAGCTTTAGCTCCTGCCTTCTGGTCAAATGTTTGCAACCTATAGATAAAAGGATCAACGTTAGACCTTAATAGATATTCAGAGATGTAATTTGTTTAGTAACACTGTAGTATGACATATACAGGGAGAACCCATTTGGAGTACCTTCAATGAATATTTGAAATAAGTTGTTTCATTTCTACATTTGAAGAAAAGGTTTAGCAATTTGCTTTAGAATTAGAGGGTCAAACGCTTCTGTAAATGAAGGATTACTATATGGATTCTTAATTTGCTGGCACTCATGTAGTAAACAAATTGCTATTTGGTGTTCTTGTCTTCTGCTTATGAACAAAAAAAATTGGATATGCTCCAGTTAATATTCTATTCGTGCTTGTTGAGCCTTGTATGAGTTATATGCTCATCGACTAATGTATTACAAGTTTTTAGCCTGTCATGTGAAACTTCTAATTTGGAAGATCTTTGCATCCACTGCTCCAGGAAAAGCTTTTTTCGAGTAAAAATAGAACAGAGGCTTCTCTAGGAAAAAAGTTAAAGATTGACATGCTTCCAGAGATTGAAAAGGAACACAAGGTACTAGCTGCAATGTAATCATTTTTATCAAGAAATAATGTCGTTTGATAAATTTTCTTTTTGATATTTCCTTCAATTATCAAGTAACCTATTTGCTTTACCAAAAGAACCTGAATTATTGTTTTCTTGGCAAATGTGCTACTATTTTGAGATATATTATCACTTTATGTTTGTTTGCTCAGAGGAAAGAAAGGTTGTTGAAGAAGCAACACAGACAAGCTCTTCTTCTTGATAACTTCTTGAGTGTGGATGGGCTTGCTCCTGGGCGTTCTCTTCGTGACAGAAAACCAGTCACTTATACTTTTGGTAAGGGCAACAATATTCATAGGCTGGTTCAATGTAGAATACCCTTTTTAACTAAAATGGTAAATTGTATGCCAGTTTATTAACCACTGCATCCAGTTAGAGTATCAGTGGGTTCAATTGTTGATAGAGATAAGGGTACAGTGCCCTCGGTACACAAATATATGTAGACATCTCATGTACTTGCTTATTTCTAGCACAAAACAATCAAGTTTTAAATGTTGAATTAGCATACAACTATAGTGTTCAGCATCTAATTGTTTAGATTCTCGGACAAAATTACTAAACTGGAACCTTGTCTTGGTGGAGGTATGGAAAAATCTGACCTTTATCTCAACTGATATTGCAGATGATTATGATCGATCAATTAATGAGGCTATCAAGATAACCAAGTAAGAGATTTTAGCCATTTAAAATACTTATACCATTCTCTGTTGTCTATTTGAACTTATTATTTGCCACTTTACTATATCGTGGTTTGCTATTTTTTCAGGAAGAAGCCACCATCCCCAGAGCCTATTCACAGAAGAGATTTTGCCAAACCTGAAGCTTCTACGAATGGTAGATGGAGTGGTCCTTCACATGCCTCACCGCATGTTAACATTAATGTCCTCTCTCCTAAATCACCTGATTATGATGATGATGATGGTGAGCCGAAATCTCTATCCTTGGAGCGTAGGTATGATTATATTTATCTACTTTGACATTCTATTTTTTAGCTGGAAACTGGTTATTATGATAATGAACAAAAATTTTCTATAATGACTTGTAGCAACCGGCGAAGACAAAGGCCTCAACGGTATTCGGCTAAGGAATTTGTGGAAGCTGTTTCAGATAATGAAGCAGATTTTGATAGTGATGATGATATAGTTGGAGAAGCAATATATGATGAAGAATATCTGAGGAAACGTAAACAGCAGAGAAAGTTCTCCAGCAGCTCTGAGGGAGACGAAGAGTATCGATGGGATGAAGATAATGCTGAAGAGGAGGAAGAAGAAGAAGAGGAGGAAGATTCATTAAGTATCAGTGAGGACAGTGATGAGCCCCAAAAATTCAAGAAACTGCCCGGTCGTACTCGGAGGGAAACCAAATTGAGGTCTGTTGATGAGCTTCAATCAGGTCTAAGACGCAGTAAAAGGGCCACCAGAAATCGAATTAATTACAGACAATATGATATGTCAGAATCAGAAACAGAGTCTATGAAACCCGAAAAGCATAGTCCATCAGTTGAAGACTCGGATGAAACTGAGAATGCAGAGTATTCAACAGGAAATCAGGAGTCTGATGGTGATGACAATGATGGTCACCAGGAAACAAAGGTTGATCAGCCTGTCAAAGATTACACCGAAATTATAGAAAAAGAGCAAAGCCGGCCTCCTGAGCAATCAAATAGTGCTGGCCAAGATGAAGTTGATGGCATGAGAAAAAGACGTTTTCTTGACCTAAACGAGCTTGCTCCGGTGTCTGGTTTTGATGATGGCCCTAACCCTATAATGAAAAATGACGATACAGATGATTTGTAGCTTTCCTTTTTACTGGAAAGCAACTGCCAGTTTTCTCTTGGGAAAGCTAAGTGTACCGATAGTAAAATTTATAAATTTTGTGGCAAGCCTCTGGAGGAAGCCACGGACAGGGTTCCCCCATGGGTTTATTGGAATATCAACCTTGATGCAATTCATTTAGGAATTGTAGCCGGGGAGCAACAAGATGCAGAGAGTTATATAGATTAGGTTAGTGATTTTTTAGTATGTCTACATTCAAAAGAAACCTATGGTCGGTGGATGGGAATTCATTGGAGTTGTTTAGCTTATCCAATTAATGTACAATAACCTTCAACTGATATTGTAACCTGAAAGTTTGCCTTTAGATGCTCAAGCCCTGTAGTATAATCTTAAATGAGCTGCCTAGCATTTGGGTTGGTTGGGTCTTTTATTAGATTGTTAAAATTAGAAACTATCTTTATTATTGTAACAGAGCCATCCTCCCTCAAAAGGCAACTGATGTTTTCATTCCCTCGACTGAAATTCTTCATACTGAATCTGATTCTCTGCACTTAAATTATGTTGGAACTTGTAGCACTAGTTTTATATTCGTGATTCCCTGAACTTGTCTAGATAACAGGTAGTTTCCTATTTCTGCTGTGCTAAATGGCACTTAAATGTGTACAAACTTCTCTTTCATTTCTACATGACAATAATCCCCTCAGTCTGGCACCAGAAAATTTTCCAGAATAATATCGAAGTAGTCCCATTGCACCAGCGGTTCACATAGACATCTCACTTTCCAGGTTATCCGGAAGCTTCAGGTCTTCCTTGGCAGGGTCATCTGTATTCTTGGAGGCTGCTTCCTCATTCTCTGTTTCCTTGGTGGCAGCATCTTCATTCTCTGCTTTCTTCTTAGCCTCTTCTTCCTTTGCTTCCTTGAGAGCCTGAATCAAATTTGTAAGACATTTCTCTGCATTATCAGATGGTGACTTGGGCATCAGGTTCTCTGCAACATCAACAGGTGTGATCTTGGTCTCCTTCATCAAGACTTGGATAGTCTCAAAAATGGGATGAGCTCCCAATTTGAGGTAGTTCTTGGCCAGTACTTTGAATCCCTCGAAACTGCAGTAGGAAAGCTCGATGTGCTTGTCCATCCTGCCTCTTCGTATCAAGGCTGGATCAAGCTTCTCCACGTAGTTGGTGGTGAAAACAATCAGCCTCTCCCCTCCACAAGCAGACCAGAGTCCGTCTATGAAATTCAGCAATCCTGACAAGGTCACCCTGCTACTGCTTTCGTCCTTTCCTTCTTTCCTTGCAGTCTCTTTATCCAACTTGTCTCTGTCATTCTCCTCTGTCTTCTTCCTCTGGCCTGTAAGATGAAGAGAGCAGTCATATCTTCAATGACATGATGGATTTACTGGTTGTCTCTATGAGAAGCTTCCTCAGCTCTGTGTTGTCTTTCACTGCAGTGAGCTCAAGATCATAAACATCATAATTCAGCAAATTAGCCATTGCAGCTATCATGGTGGATTTCCCTGTCCCAGGAGGCCCATAAAGAAGGTAACCTCTCTTCCATGCTTTTCCAATCCTAGAATAGAACTCTTTGCTCTTGCTGAAAGTCACAAGATCTTCAATAATCTCTTGCTTTTTCTGTGGCTCCAGAGCCATTGTATCGAAAGTAGCTGGATGCTCAAACACAATATGACTCCACATGGTTTGCTTGTAGCTAGACCATTTGTATCCAGGACTATTAGTATACAGTTTTCTCTGCCTATTCCTCACTCTTATCTCCTTCCCTTCTTTCACCACATGCTCTAGGTAAGCACCTGTAATTATCTCCCTGTACTTCTTGTGAAATGTAAGTCTGTAGTATCTCTTCTCTTGTTCAGGATAATAAGATACAGACCTTGCTGGGGACATCACTTTGCTTGAAACCCACCAAACTTTGACACCCTCAAACTCATCACTCACTCTCTCATACTCATCCATGCTTAGCACCAAATTGGTGCTATCTTTACCCATCTCTGCCTTGAGTCTTTTCGCAGTCTTTGATGAGTTAACACTCAGGTATGCCTCAACAGCTGCATAAGCTTCAGTTCTCTTGAGTCTCTCTCCAGTGAATTCATGTATGGAGATCTTGATGTAAGGGTAGAAGAAGCTCGTGATTCTGTGTGTATACTTTTCGAAACATCGACGTAGCTCATAGGGGCAATACTGTCTTATCACAGCCCATAAGAACATCAAGCTCACTGTGGTCGAACCCATTTTTGCCCAAATTTCTGTCATTGATCCTGGCATCGTTTTCTTTCTGGTTTTTCTAGCTGAAGAAAGTGAAAAAAAAAAATGGAGAAGAAGAAACAGAGTTGAGGTAGAGAACGAGAAAAGAGGCAATATCTTGACATGTTAGTATCTATAGTTTCTCATGTATATAATTCCAGTCAAGTACATACAAAATTAAATATTAGGAGGTGCAATTATATAATTATTATTATATAAGTCATAGTTTGGGTTGGCACTAAATGTTTTTTTTTTTTTTTTTTGTAATTTAGTTTGTGGGTGGTGATGATTGGTAAAGATTACGTGGAAAGAGGTAGAGAAAGTTGAGAATCGACGCCAAATTAGACACGTGGCATGCAACGAAGAAAGATAAAGCCTATTAAGGTGGGCCAACCAGGACTTCCAAATAATATATTATTTGGTAAAATTTATTATTTTATAAATTTTTTTAGAAATATTTTTAATATATTTGATGGTAATTAAAAAATAAAATATTTATTTATATATGTTCAGATATTATTATTCTATTTTGACTTTAATATAAATATATTTAGTTCTTTAAAACATATTTAAGAATTCAGTAACATATTATGTTACTAAATTATATTGTTCTTTCAATAAGTTTTACTTAAAGATATCACAATAAATTCATATTTGATTTTAAAAAAAATATTTTATATACCATAAAATACAGTTATCTCCTTTTGCAACCAAACTGTTACTAGCTTAGTTTTAAAGGGACACCGGATGAAACCATCATATTTATATTTGATCTCGTACACTCTCGTCATATTTGTACTATCATAGAATGTCTACGTCCATCGAGATTTCCTTTATATACCATAAAATATCTCAATACTAACTTGTCGATATCTTCAATAAAATTTTATCTTATCGTAATATATTTCATTTATTATTATAAGATGATAGTCAAAAATATATTTATTCCATCACGAGAGAGAATTTTGAAGTTAGGTATAAATTAATTAATTAGTTATTGTATTTTCTTTTAATTAATTATTAATTAGAAATACTTGTTGTATTTGATTGAGAACAATCATTTTTCTTCACTTGGTAATAATTATGTATGAAATTCTACAAGTTCAATTTTTATCGTTTGAGAGATTTATTATTTTTATTCTGTACAAAATTTCAAATAATATTTTTATAATTTTTTAATTAAAATAAATATAAAGTAACTATTTACCATATAAATATCATCTTTTAAATACACCAAATCTATACACACACATAGGATTTGATTAATGTGTAGGAAACCAAGAGGGGAGAGGAGAAAAGAAAAAGAAAAAGAAAAAGAAAAAGAAGAAGAAAGTTTTTATGTGGAATTCACATGTCAACCACCACTTCTTTATATGGTGGTTGCTCAAATATTTTATGTAACATTAACTTTTTTTGTAATTGGTCATTTTCTTTTTGCCAAAATTGTTTAAGATGTTCAAAGTTTTGGGTGGTGAACCAACCCACAACTTCATCTTACAATTGGTGATTTTAAAATAATGTCCTCATTATTCACACAATTGGGTTTAATTTTTTTTTGTGATTTTTGGCTCAATTGAATTTTTTATTAAATTAAACTTGAATTGATCCGAAATATATTATATTATTATGTATTATTTATAATCGATTTTCAAACCCGATTTTAATTCTGTTCAAGTCAACTCAAATTTAATTGAGATGTCGATTCAAATTTTTTTTTATAAAAAAAATTAAGATAGATTGGTTTTGTAGGTCATTAGATTTAGATAATGGCTGCTTGTCTTTCTTTCTAGAATTGTAAAGTTGGGTTTAATTTAAATTTTAAATGTGATATAAATTTAATGGGGTTACCCATTTTGGTAAATGACTTCTAGCACAAGGTAGTGAAATGTTAAGAAAGGAAAAATCACATGGTGTTCATTTGTTTATCTCTCTAATGAAATTTATAATTTTAAATTTAAAGATAGTTTTTTTATATATATATAAATTATAATTTTTACATTAATAAGTATATCTACTTTTTGAGTTTTGTATATTGAAAGATGTGGCTAAGAGAAGAAGAAGAAGAAGAAGAAGAAGAAGAAATTCATAATAGTGGAACAGTGAGTGTCTCTTTCATTTTATCCAGAATTTAGAAGAAGAAGAAGAATGGCCTTATATATATATATATATATATATATATGCATATATCTTGAGAATGTATCCTCTACATAGCCCAACAAATTAGATGATTCAAAAAGTCTGTTTATGCATGATGACTCATCTCGTCAGTCAATTTGTTTTATTAGATAGTTAGTAAATCAATCAATAACAAACTGTGCAAACTGTATATATATATATACGTATACCACATATTTCTGCAATACCCATATTCTTTCACCAGACAACTTTGCTAGCAAGGAAATTCTAGTTTAACATATGTAAACATAAAAGAAGTTTCCTATACTTTTCAAAGAATGCTTATAGTTTCAGAAAAATATACACATGGTTTTTCAAAATTATCTTTAAATAAATTTATTAATTATGCATATGCTGTTTCTTTTTTGTTTATACAAAATCTAGCAATCATCATCGTTTTACTACCTTCCATGTTACAACCTCTATAGTAGATTCATATTGCCAAATACCGCAATTAGATATATGGTTGTAATGGTTATTGATACTTCTTTCATTCATAAGCTAATCCACTAGATGGGCTGTGTTCTGACTACCTCACCCGCCTCTTCTACTTCGTTGAATCCTCCTTCCCCACCACCCTCTTCAACTCTCCTCCTTTTTAATCCTTCGCCACATTCCTCATCAAGCTCTCCTCCTCCCCTTTTCCTTCCTTTTTCTCTTTCCCCCCTCCCCCTTTCTTCTCTCCCCTCCATCGGTGTCGTTGGCTGAGACCTCCTCATCGATGACCTAAAGCCAAATGACTTCCTTTGCGATGTCATGGTTGCTAGATTTGTCCTAGGATTTAATCATTTGTGCGCGCGCGTTAGACACTTATTTTTTTTTCTTTTACTTCTGTTTCTTATTCTTATTCTTCTTCTTCTTCTCTGTTACCTCTTCTTATTCTTCTTCCTCTTTATCTTCTTGCATTCCTTCTTTTTTTTCTCCTATTCTTTCATTACTTCTTTCTCTTATGTTCTTTCTGTCACACCCTAGATCTATAGTGCAACTAAATAAATAAACTATAAAATTTTGTCCAAACCAAGCAAAACAAAGATATAACAAAAGGCAAAACCAAACCATTAGAATAATGTATGGAAACAAGATTTACAACATATTTACAAACTAGGTCACAATCACATTATGTTGTAAATACATCCATTTCTTTACAAAAGTATTATATACGAGGCTTGACCTTTATCATACAATGATTTTCGAAGAGAAAAACACATCTAACAAACTTTAAGAGGCCTTAAAACCTTCTTGCATAGGCAAATCTATCAAAACATTAAACTTATACCTCCAATATTTCTCTCTAAATTCTAACAATTACTTATATGAAATTGTTATAAAAAATAATGAAATACACATCTCAATAAGTTACAAATTAACAATAACAAAAGATA